AAAAAAAAAAAGAAACGTTGATTTTTAGCTTTTACCTCGTCTTGGTAGAAGATCGACGCAAAGTATCCTGCATGAAGAACCTAAACTTGACGATGATCTGTTGGAAAGTCCTATATCGTCATCTTCTGTGAAATCGGCTCAGCCACCTGTAGCACCTCCGCGCACTAGAAAAACTGGATGGGGTGACGAGCTGAAAAGCGGGAAGTAAGTTTTATGAGAGTAATTTGTGCATTAATTTCGCTGGAAATGCTTTGTTAGCTTTCACGTGCTTTCTTTTGGTATTAATAAATTTTAGAACACGTGGGCCGTCGAGTATCATTGAACAGTGAGTATAACGAGATAGAATTAAAGAATCAGGCATTTGTAGTCGCTGATAGACTGTTTCTTAGGGAACGTTTTCGAGCGACGGAGAAGGACGATGTGATCGACGGTAAGGATTCGTTTCAAATTCGTTGTAACAAAGATATAAAATACTCAATGACAACGCAATTATATTATTATTATTATTATTAGATATTCCTGTTATACCGGATTTAGATGAGATTCAAGAGGATAATGCTTTATCCAACGTAAATACACCAATGTACGTATCGTTGTAAAGTTCTTGCATAAGTTCTTACTGAATTACCATTTGATATTCTGTAGGGTAAATGTGAACAGAGTCACTGCATACAAAGAACTTGACACAGACTTGGTGAAGAATGCCGCATTCACGTCTCTAAATGGCGTTAATCTTTCCCTCCTGGCAGAGAAACTGTACAACGAAAATCTGACGAGAGAACCAGATGAAGTATGGAACTGGAATCTCCTTTTTACTCAGGTTACATCTGAAGTAAACAGCGAGACGCAAAAGAAACTTATTACATAAATTTTGTTTTTATGATAAAAATAAAAGTTAATAAATATGCGGGATCACTTCTTTCCTTCATTGTATTTTATTTTATAAAAAATCATTTATATTATATTAGATAAAATTTATTATATTATATTAGATAAAATTTGTAAAACAATAAAAAAAGGAAAAAAAACAATGGCATACTGCTATCTGCAGTGCCTGTATATGGAAGCGACAAATTTAACCTCGTCTGACCTATTCGATTGCCCCCCAATTTGGAAATCGCGGTAGTTCGAGGAGCGACGTGAAGACTCAACCGTGCAGGCGTGCAAATCCGAGGTGAATGTAAAAACACCTCGAACCTACACGCGCAATCGGGAGCCGAACACAAGCTACTTGAAGCGACCACGTGACAACACCCACTGAGCAGATCTGCCATATTTCTACGTTAGCGATCAATGTTCAGCTGTGCCATCACTAGCACACACTTCCGAAACATTTACCTTTAATTCTCGTATATAAAGGAAGCGAATGATATTTAACAACTAGCGAGAAAACAGGTTCCATTTTAGTATATTATGTATTGTTACATTTTTAGGCGAAAACTATTTATACACCTAATAATAATCTTGTAGTAGAATATAACATTTAAACTAGGATGATTGTATTAACAAATTTGTTCTCCAAAACAAAATTTTTTAAACATTGATATATGCGTTTAAGATAAAAGCCATCTGGTAATGAAATCTAATACTAAAATTGCGTCTTGTCAAGAATCGATACATCGAATCGATGCACGCAATCGATGTACTTGATATATATACGATGTTAACTTGATATATCAAATCTGTCGAATACGTCGATTAATATCGCAGAAATCAAATATATCGATCTCTTCAAATTTGAAACTGGTGAGGGGATCATACAATAACGCATTTACATTAGAATTAATTTTATTCGTATGTTATTGCCAGCATAAAATTAAGAAGTGCTCGAAGAAAATTTTCCAACTGTGCTTTAAAAAAGCCTAATGTATTACAATGGGTACAATACATGCATCGAGAAAAATACAGGAAGAACCAAACATAGTAACCCACGAAGAAGAAGATTGTATACCATGCAGAGAACCGCAAGACAAAGCGCCAGGAAATCCAGGAAGTTTCGAAGAAATACATAAGAAGGTTAAAGATCTTTATCCGCAGAACTTCGAAGGTGCGCGACTCGTCATCAACAAAATCCTTAGTGACCATTTTAACGTAACGCATTCAATAACTCTTAGTTCCGTTACACCGTCTGGATATAAGTTCGGCGCAAAGTACATTGGTACAAAACTGGTCAGTTTGAAAGAAAGATATCCCATAGTCGTCGGAGATATCACGCCAAATGGGAATTTGACTGCGTCGTTTGTACATACTCTTGGATGTAGATTTAGATATAAATTATCGGCGCAAATTGCCGACGGGAAATGGAAAGCATCAAGTTCCAGCTTGGAGTATCGCTCGAATGATTTTACGGTAGCGGTGACCTTAGCCAACCCAAAGCTTACAAAAAGGCAAGGAACAGTAGTAATACACTTTTTACAATCGATCACGTCGAGAATCGCGTTAGGAGCCGAGATTGCTTGCCTTCGTGGCTCGAAGATTCCAGGTGGTCAACAGACAATTATGTGCATGGCTTTTAGATATAGTACAGGACCTACGACATTATCCGGAACGATAGGTGAAGCGGGTCTTCATCTTTGCTATCATCGCAAAGCTAGTTCGCAATTGGAACTCGGAGTCGAGTTAGAAACAAATACGAGAACTCATCAATCAATCGCTACTATAGTTTACCAAGTAAATGTACCGTACGCAGATCTTGTTTTCCGCGGTATCGTAAATTCCGAGACTACAGTTGGTGGTGTGTTTGAAAAGAAACTATACCCAATTCCAGAATCCTCGCTAGTTATTAGCGCGCTTTTAAATCATAAGAAGCAGCAATTTCGTGTGGGGGTTGGCCTCAACATCGGACAATGATAAGCAATCAATGATGTGGTTTGTCACGCGAATGGTAGGAAATAATTCAATAGTATAGAAATTAATATAGGGGATTGTAATTATTCCTTTCAAAATCTTAGAGTGAAAATGTTTTTGCAAATGTTACAATCTCTGTGGCTCAATAATTCATGATAACGTATTAACAACATTATATGTTTTAAACAATTGTTATGTTTATATATGTATTATAAAATGTCTGAAAACTTTTGAGGCATAAGATTTGTATATTGACACATATTGAGTAATAAAAAAAGTCCGAATCTTTTTATTTAATTTAGTGAAAGTAAATGCAATGTGCCTGTTAAATGTTAATACTGTTATTTTTTTTTATCATTAGAAATTTTGTTTCACAACTAATATCTATAAGTTGAATGACATTCTAATCGTCTCCGTTTGCTATCCTTTCGTCCAAATCGTCATATTCGTGAAAAGCGGTTGTTTTCAGTTTCTCGAAATTTACATCAAATTTTTCATTAAGAAGCCCATTTTCATCGGCATATTCTAAAATATCACAGATCAGTGGCGATTCCACACCTAGAACGTATTCGCATGTTTTTGGCTCGACTAGAAAAAGAGAAACACTCGATGGACTGGCCGTATGACTTTCAACACATTTTAATTTCACCTGGAAATTACAAAAATTATGATAATTATATAAATTTTTCCAAAAATAAATAAAATTACTCTATAAAATATTTGTGCATATAATACCTCCGTTTGTCTTGGATTGCCAGTTTTATCACAAATAGTACCATCGCTATAAAAATGAAAAAGTTGTTTCCGCAATTCTGGAGACTTTAGTTTCTTATGTGGGTGTGCACCAATCCACTCCAAATGTTTCTGTTTATCAAATTTACCAAGATTTACTATGGTCTTTTTACCATCGCGTTCTATATGGTACTGAACCACAGAGCGTCCGTAACAAAATTCGTACTTCCACCATCCATTGCCCTGTTTACAATAATTATATATCACTGTATAAAATACAAGATTAAAAAATATGGTCAGAAGTGCAATACCTACTCCATGTAAACAATTTTTTCCGCTTAGGAAGTTTTTTACGGGATTCACTTCTGCTGGACTAATACCTTGATCTGCTAATGAATTTATGGAATCTTCAATATTATTATGTTTATCAATAACACCGACTGGATGTATTTCAACTCTAACACGTGCTTCACCGTCCTGAAATAAATACAGATCAATTAAATTTTTAATTATTATATACGCAAAATAAATATTCTCATGAGAATAACTATCAATGTTAATATCAATTCTATGAATTTGTTAAAAACATAAGTGTGCAATAGATCATTCCTTCTTTTAATTTACGATACACAAAATTGATTTTATTTACTATTAAATTTTGACTTTATAACTTTTTGATATTATAATATTTATTTTGATAATATGTATGTCACATAGAGTTTTGTGATGTGATGATTGATTCTTACATAAATATGTAACGCAAGAATGACAAATACTGTAAATTTAGCTGTGAACAAGTAAAGCAGTGGATATTGTGATGCTAAAGATATAATGGTGCATATAAATAGCATTCATAATGTTATATAAAGGGAATAATTGTATGTAGAAAAGGAAGGGACAGAATGAGATACAAATTAATGGCGACAAATGACAAGAACCATCAAGCACTTTGGCCTGATCCCAAAAATACAAAATATTCTGACCTGGCCCTCCTTATCTACATGGAAGATTGCATAGACTTCCTGCAGCTTGTCATCCTGTGCAACAAATAATTAATTCAATGTATAGATAATAAATAATCCAAGCAAAACTTGTTTAACATAAAATAAATTATATGGCTTACAAATGTAAGCCAAAATTATTTTGAAAATCTTGAAATTTAGTAAAGTCAAGGTGTCTTTTAGATAAACAAACTATAACAATGATCAATGCAGTTTTCTACAACTGAATAAAATAATATTTTATACTGACAAAGTGCATAGCACAATAATGGACTTCATTTAACTATAATCTATTGTTATTTGAAAACATCTTGAATGTGTTTCACATAAATCAATAACAAAAATTATTACTAACATACACAGAAAATACATAAGTAAATACATTTTATTTTAAATAACAATATATACAAATAGCACAAGCATAGTCAGAAATAAATAACTGAATACAAAGAACGCAAAGAAGATGGCTTTACCGTTACTTTTTGATATCGAAGTTTTAGACTTTCCATTTCCATCGCAACAAGAGATCTAGGCTTCTTTGGTGCATTCTCAATTGGATGACAATTGATTTCATTTTCCCCTGTAGCTTGAGGCTTATAGTCAGGATGACTACATAGCCAAGGTGAAAGGACAATAACTTCATATTCACAACTAGAAGGTTCTTCAAATGAAAACAACTCGTGCTTTCCATGTTGGTAACAAACATAAAGAACTTTTATCTTTCGTGGTTTATTAGTTAGATCACAAACTGTGCCATCACCCATTTCAATTTCAACATATGGCATATTGATTCCATCAACCTTTTTAACTGGTATATCTGATTTCCTAGTCTCTTCTCCTTCGGTATATTCAGCCAAAAGCTTTAACTCTTGTAATTTATCAAAAGTACCTAAATAATACTCTTGTGTTTTCACTTTTTTTCCATCTCTGTCCTCGTGATACTGACGTACATATCGTCCATGGCATAATTCATACGACCAATAAGATTCAACCTGCAAAACAAACTTATTTACACTGAAATTATGCATGATACGTCTATAACATTTATAATGCATACTCTGTAAGAACAAGTGTTTTGTTTAAATAGTGGTGATAAAATTTCTATTGGATTTGGTCCACTGTATGGTTCATTATAATCTTGTTCTTGCTCTGAATTATCAACTATTAAACATTGATATTGTTCTTTATTTGCAGTTGTTATAATATAAGGTTCCACATTTGTTCTAGACTCCTATTAGACATAATAAATAAAATATAATACAAATATAATAAAACGATTATTAATTTACATTTCAATTCAAGTAATACTTACCAATAAATCCGAACTAGCTTTACCCGGCCAGTTGATTTTAAAAAGAACAGTATCATCAAAATTTCTGAAATCATGCCCATACACTATAACTATGATACACAGTATATTATAAAGACTATAGTATGTCCACATTTTTATGAAATGACAATTATTTCATCATATCTTTAGCCAATATGAATGATATGTTCAGGTTTATGACGACAGCGATGTATCTCTAGACCAAAATCTATTTCATATCACTGTTTGATGGTTAAAAAATATTTGTCCGATTGTGCTAGACGAAAGTTATATTATGTTATTTATACGACTAATTTTTAAATAATTTAAATTTTACTCTTTACTCTTATTTGATAAACGTTTCAATGTTCTTGTTAAAATGACTTTCTTGAAAGATTGACACTATGCTTATAATTATGTCCAAGTGCCAGTAATTTTATACCACGTGAACAGCATACGTGGTTATTTTTCTATGCAATCTTAGTGTCATAAAATATAATATATACATATATATATATATATATAATGGAGAATATTTAAAAATAAAAATATGTAGTCGCTTATAATGATTTTTTTATTTCAAGTTGAATTCTTCTTTATACATCTGGAACAAAACAATTTTGCTTTGAAACTTAAAGCTCAAGGTTTAAGAAAACAGTTATACGTACCTATCTAGAAAAGATTAAATGCAACTGATGTATGAACACAGATAACCAATCAAAACATTCGCAGATGGCGCTTACAACGCATAGAAATTCGAATTCCCGCGGTAATTAATTAAATATTATTTTATGGATTCTATGTGTAAATTGAATAATTCTCATTTAAATAGATTAATTAATTTAGAAAAAGAGAGAAAGAACAAAATATCGATGCTATATAAATACATGGGGTAAGATACTTTTTGTTCAAATTACTAGTGATTCAGCAAGGTCCAGGAGAAAGGATCTCCCGTTCGGAAGTCTGTAGAACCGCCATTGCTACTGAGTAAACTGACAGCGATTTGACGAAATCGTTTCTATTGTTGAAATTTCACGAGTTTGGTGTGCCTTCTCGATAGTGATACGTTTAGCCTGTGATTCGTGACCGAGAATCGAGATCGGGAACTGGTCGAAGGAGAAACAGGCTTAAACTAGTTCGACCTTAAAAGTCATTTGGCGTTGACCATTTATTCACATTTTATAAACGAAAATCTGTGATAATTCGGGAACGTGTACTTCCAACTGAATTAAAATGTCGGATACAAGACGACGACGGAAATCTAATCAGTCTTGTGGTTCTGATGACCTTTCGGATTCTTGCGAAGAATTAAACGCAACGAAAGAAACCCAGGTTAGCTGCACAACAAAGGTGTTCTTAATTAGACATTCTGAGGATTTTGAACAAATAATTTTGCCATCTTTTTATGATTTCTGAGTTCTTGCTTGTTTATCGAACGTTTTGCTTCTCGTCAAACTAGATTGAAAGTTCGCCGGAAGACCCGATTAAATGGATTAAGTAAACTGCTGTAATACTTTTGAGTCTAATCGTAACTAGGGAGATTTCCTTTGTGTTCGATATACCGGCAAGTGGTTTTGCGAATGTTTCAATTTTCACGCATATCAAAGTTCAAACAAACTTATTTTGTGTGTTATATCTAAATAAAACATACTTTTCCATTATCAATGTCTGCAAAAATTTCAATTACAATTTTTTAACCTTGGAATGGTACCTAATTTATTATAATCTCAATAGTACCTAATTTATTATAATCTCATTTCCCTTGTACTTTCTTTATGAATTTTTTTTTCTATAGAGCAGCGAGCAAACTGATGGTCATCAGGATTCAGAATGTGATATTTATCCTTCTGACTCTGATGCTGAATCTCAAGATGGTGCATTGCGAGAAAGTGGAGATGGTCAAGAAGAAGAAAAACCACAAAAAAAGTTAGATGATGACGAAGACAGACGTAATCCACAATATATTCCTAAGAGGGGGACATTTTATGAACATGATGATAGAACCATTGATGAAGTGACAGATAATGCAGCTGAATCACAAAATGAGAGGGAAACCAAAGAAAAAAAGGTCTGGAAGGACAAAGAAGATAGATGGGATCATGATCGATATAATGATGAAGAACAGGCACCAAAGAGCCATGAAGAATTAATAGCTGTCTATGGTTATGATATAAGAAATGAAGAAGGTCCACCTAGAGCTAGAAGAAGAAGAAGATATGGGTAGGTTATTTCTAAAGGTATTATAGTGTTTGCAACATTTTATATCATGCACTTTATATGTTTTAGTCGTGGACCTAATAAGTATACGCGTAATTGGGAAGATGAAGATGCATATGGGAAACCTGGAAGTAATGTTTCAAGTAGAAATAAAAGGTTTAATAAAAGTGGAGAAGATTTTCCTGCTCTAGGAACGAATAAAAATGCTTCTACACATGTAGAAGAACCAGTAATTTCATCAGCTTGGTACAGCAGTAAAAATAAATCTCAGAATAAAATACAAAACTTTCCACCGCTACAAGCCCAAGGTGATAGTCACAAAACGAAATCTAGCAATACATCTAATACTCATACGTATGTAATATTTTTTAAAATATTGGACTATTTTTTAAAATATTGGTCTATATTTTATTTAAATATATTTAATAAAGTTTTATTTGACTTTAGTATTTTGATTTATAGAAATGAAAATAAGGCTCCTAATGAACCTACAAATCCAGCCTGGAAAAAGGACACTAAACATTCGTCCCATATTCAGAGTAATAATGGAAATAGTGGAGCTGGCGGTGATGCAGATAAATTGGTTAATGCAAAAGCATCTCCAAGAGATAATAACAAAAGGAACATTCAAGAGTCTGTAAGCTTAGCAGCGAGTAGAACGCGTGGACGAGGATTCAGAACAAATGCTAATAACAATATGGTCACCAATAGAACAGTTGAAACCAAACCAAAGGGACGTGGGGCTGGACCGATTACTACTGAAAATAAGAGAAATAATATCATACAGAATGATGATGAACAGCAAATTACTCATGATATGAAACACATTAGCGTTAACGATGGTACTCAGTATCATCAAAGTGGAAGACATAATAGTAAGTGTTTAATTCGTATAATCATGTTATACGTAATTTACGTGTATAATCGTATTATACATAATCATATATAACGTAATATTATACAACTGTCTATGCACTGTTCTTTTGATATTTTTTTTAGAAAGCTTCTATGGACAATCTTCAAATCAACAGAGATTGGGAACAGTACCTCCAAGAATGCAACAACAATCTCATTCACAGCAACAGCAACAACAGCAACAATCGCAACAACAACCTCAATCAATTCAACAAGATGGTTCTGCTAATAGGCCAAAACGTTATTCAAGCTTGCGACAACGATCTACTATTTCGGATAATCCAGGACAACAAAATTATCCTGCACAACATGGACAACATACTCAACATAGTCAACACAGTCAACACAATCAACATGGTCAACATAATCAACATAATCAACACAATCAACATAATCAACACAATCAACACAATCAACATGGTCAGCATAGTCAACATGGGTATTTTTCTCCTCAAGGTAATAAAATAAAGTATATTCAGAAATATTATTGTTCGTAAAATAGATTTATGAATGATCAATATAAATATATTAAATATCCTGCATTAATATCTAACTTGTATATGTGTATGTATTTAGCTGGGAATTCAAGAGGTGTTTTAGATTCACAAGGTAAGAATGCAGGTTATTTTAATGTGTGCATAATTTCTTTTTTTTTTTTTGTTAAGTAGAGATAACTTATGTCTGCATATGTCATTTTCCTTCTTAATTATGTTTATACACTTGTCATATTATATTTTTTAATTTTGTAGGATATTCACAAGGACATTTTGAACAAACTACGTCTGTTGCTGCTGCAACTGCACCTATGGCTGGTCAACCAGTGATTCCTATACCACCTAATGGTCAACCTGCCAGCTATGCTCCACCGCCATTTTTAGTTCCACCGCCACAGTTTATTTCTCCACAGACTGCACCACCTAGCATAATTAATTATGTTCCTGGTCCAAATGGACCAGCGTTTCAACCAAATTTCCAAGGTTATCAAGGATATACTCCGCCAGTGCAGGTATATTTTTCCACCTTCAAAGTTTTAAAATTATATTATCAAAAAATTGTCATACACATTTTCTAATTGATATTTTATAGCCACAGCGTCCTCCACCTCCACAAGAACTGTTTCAGCCACAGGGTTGCACTTACTATAGTCCAGCACAGCAACAACAGCAACAACAGCAATCAGCTCCAATGAGACGACCAAAGGCGGCTATTCCAATTCTTCCACCACCTGAGAATCAACATCAGACTAGTCGAGGAAGAGGTAGAAGTACACAACCACAACAAACAAATCAACATGGTAATACACAACAGACTGAACAAGAAGTTAAAAATAATTTGGTGGAAGGTGATCAGAAGACTGTACCAGAACAGTTCGATAATACGCAAATCGAACAGGCTCCGGAAATTCAGCAAGAAGAAAAAACAGACGATTTGAGTGCAATAACGAATCCTGTGGTTGAAAATACCGAAAAAGATATTAAAAATTCCGATATCGAAGTACCAGTGAACTTAGAAGATACCACTACCAATCAGTTAGATGATATAAGTGCTAATGATTTATCAAAAGTTACTATTAATGAGGAAGATGCTATTCCACTTAAAACTACAGAACCAGTCATTGAAGAGCCTGGAGAAAATGATTCAAACAAAATTGAAAACACAACGACTGAAAATACAGTTGTTGGAGAAACAACTGCTTGAAAGGACATCGCACAGCGTGTAATTTTTTTTGCGAAAGACGTAATCGTGACATGTTGTGAGTATGAGTATGCATATATTATAAAAAAGCTGTGTAACTTTGTTGACGTTACTATGCATTTTGTATGACAAAATGATCTTCACGAATCATTTGTGAAGTACTTTAGGAATTGGATGTATGCGTGTCTAAAACATATTTTGAATGACTATCTAATTTCAGCATATTGTTGTATATTTCGTAGTTCACATTTGTATTAATGTTTCGCTACGAATTCTATCGATCTGCTGCTGTCATTAAACGTCATCCTTCTATATCGTTAATCTCTTTTCATATATCTACTAATAATGAATTATTAGTAGACGCAACTAGTTAAACGTATTATTGTATATCGAATATTAACGCATGCAGCATCGATTGGTAAAATAATTAATAAATCGATATATCTTTTTAATACAACGGCTATTGTAAATAGGATATAGTCAGGTCAGTAACCTCAGTATGTATTATGTTTTTGGTGTGCAAACAAGTTTGCGATTCAAGTAAATGGTGGGTGAATGAAGTACATTTATTAGATAAAGTACCATTACTTAATGCTTTAATTTTACTCACCTTAGAACAAAAGAAATCTTTGATCTGCATGTACCAGGAGAAAACGATCGTTACATAATTTAGTGTATCTTAAAATCTAGTTAAAACGAAGTTGATACTAACTATTAAATTTGTCATTGATAAATTCGGCTTTTCATAATAACTGCGAAAAGTTAAAATGACGATAATTTTTTTTTTTTTTTTTCAATACGCTTACAAAGTCATGCTTTCTAGCAAGGTGGAATGGAAAGATAATATATTGATAAGAAGTTTTTTCATACATGACTAAATTTATTTTCCTCTTTTTAACTTAGTTTCACATAAACTTCAAATATACGGATGTATTAATTAACGTTTATGCGTATAAAATTCTCGTTTATAGTGATGAGATCATACAAACAGTGGAACTGATCGTTAAACTAAACAATTGTCGTATGTGGTAAAAATGTAATTTTTGCGAACTGAAGATAAGTTCCGTCAAGATTACATGATATGCTAGTAGCAGTGTACAGAATATGAGATTTGCATCACATATTTATGACATAGCGATAGTATATATATCTTAATAAAATTTTTACATACAATTTTGTCAGCACGCCCGGCGATATCGTATTGTTCAACATATACATATATATATATATATATATATAATATATATAATAGTTCTAAATGGAATCATTCTATTATAAAGAATGATTTACAAATTCGTACGTGCCTATGTTATAGTTCACGCTCTGCGGGAATAAACATCGAGCTTTTCTCCAGTAATTTTTAATATTGTAAGTACATTTTACATAGTTCAATGTTTCGTTATATTAAACGATTCCATTTTTCAGTAAAAGTTTCAATGTCTACCAATTTTTATGAATTTCGGAATTAGATATATAAACAAATGATTTTTACAAGTATTTTAGTTATTTAAAATACTATCAAATGAGACACGGCGTTTCTGTTGTATTTATCTAATATCATATATCTTAGTATTAAAGTTCAAATTACTTGTAAATAAATTACTTGTGAATCTTACTGCACGTTTGATAGTCATAATCATTGGCATTATATGTTTACAATTAATCGTGTTTTTCGTTTTGTTGAACGCTGGTTATAGCACTGAGAGGTATAATTTCGGTATTTCGTTGAAGATTATTGTTATTCTTGAACGTTGTTCGTATCGTCATAGTTCGAGATTTAATTCGAGGAAGATTAGACGTGCTTGCAAGATATCCGCGTTGTATACGAGTATTACTCTCTCGACTACAACGAAATGTACGCCTAAACTCCTTCCGAAATTTCCCTGTAATAAAAGCCCTTGATTAATCATCGAACATCTTCTATAACGCTTTATAGGTACATGACTCGTATTGTAAATACGAATTAAATTGTATTATTTTAAGTTATTTTGTACTGATTTCAAAGAAAGTATTGTTATAAAATTTTGCTTGAGGTATAACGCTATAATTAGGATTTAACGCCATTAATACCGTTTTGATCTCGCGGCTTTCATTATGATTTTAACAAAACTTTTCCCTTCGACAAAAAGGGTAAGCTATATTAATATTTTGTTATCGACCGTTATTTCAAGCATACTTCTTAATCCTTAAATCTTAACTCTTAATTGGTGATTAACTTAAATTTTAGATAGAACTTTTACAAAAATTAAAATCATTTATCGAGGTATCGCCTCTACGATCGCATCTTACGTGATTATTAATCGATATCAATTAGTCGATAGACCGTTCATATGTACTGAAAATGTAAAGAATTGAAAGATTAGTAATTTTTGATGGTCAGTTATATGTACAGCATAGTGTCTAAATTAAAATGAAAAGTATAAGGAAGATTCATGGAAATCGGTTCTATAAAGTGGTCAATAACTGTGGAATATAATATAGCTCACCCTAAGCGTAATTGTTTGTGAGACTGCGGAGCATAAAATCCAAGACTACATAGATCCTGGGCAAATTCGTTTTCAGCTCGAGTTCCTTCCACGATATTTGGGACTTTTTTCACCCAAGAGACTCGTATTTCCGCATGTCAGAATTGTTCACGACGACTTTGTGTTGTAGAGCGATATTCATTTGCTATGCAAGCGTGGCTGGGTTCCTGGTTTGGCTTGTGATCGTTCAAAGGGGTGCATTTTTGGAATGTACGGCCAAACTCCCGCCGGAACTTAACTGCAAACCACACGCTGAATATCTCCCTTTGCTCTGCACCGTCTTATTTTTATTTCCGATTTCTTTGCACGCCAGAATTATTAAAGTGGAAATGCAGGCATATTTTCCCCCCACGAAATAAAATATCTTGAAATTTTTAAATACGCAAAATGCAGTACTTGAAATTGCAGTACAGCCAGCAGGAGAATAATTCTGCATGTAAAATAAGTTGTAAAAAATGCAATGATATTTTGTCATTTAAGATTTTAGATTGAGAAAATCAAGTTTTAAAATTTGTTAACTATACTTGAATTTGATGAATTCTGGTTTAAAGCGTCATTTTTATGAAAAGACATTTCGAACATTTTAATTTAGTTAGGAATTAATTTTCTCAGAAACAAAGCGTCTTATGAAAATATCTCATTCGACATTTTTGACTCATTTTCGTACATAGAATATCTTAATATCAATTATTCTCTCTTGTTCAATTTGAAATTAGTCAGATTCAAGTATAATTGACAAATTTTTAAACTCGAGTTTTACAAAAACGAAATCTCTATGAGAAAATGTTCCTTTTCAATTTATTTTTACATGTAGAATTATGCAATAGAACTCTAATAAAAGGGACTTCAATTCCAATTTTTTGTTTGTTTTCGGATATGTTGTAGAAGCGAATATTCTAAATAATAATATCCTAAAATTTACATTTGAGCTCTAGATAGAAAATTTAACTTGATCTAATATAACCATATTGTACTACCATTAGAATCATAATTCTATTCAAAAATATATACAATTTCATTTTTAATCACTTATATCTGACAATGAATAAATTTAACGCAACAAATTTAGAACTTGCCTCGAGCAAAGTGCACTTTACTCAGAATAGTCTTCTCTACAACATATTTCAAAAAATAAAAAAAATTGAAATTTAGTGAATTTAAAAAAATTTACCAATTATCATTTGACCGGATATACAACGATTTCAGAGATACCTTGCATTTAAACAAGTTTCAAAAAAAAATCAATCATAAAAATTTTTCCAATCAGATGGCACGATACGATAGATTTTGTCCTGTTTGAATTTTTGTACATTTCGACATACCAACTAGATGTTAGAAATAACAAGATCATTATCAGTTAAACAGTGAAACGTTGCTTTAGTTAATTATAAAGTTCTTTAAATGAACGAAATAGAAATATCCAAGGGAGTGAATATCAACAACGTTTATGAAAAAAGCTCTCCGATAAATTCTAAATTTTACAATGAATTAGGAATATACTAATTATAAATAATGACAACGTACTGTTAAACGTACAATTGATTTTCAAAACAGAGCGATTCATTTTGAATATCTATGTATGGTTGTATGTTTGGAAGACAGGAGAGAAGAGAAGGGACGAAAGGAAGAATTTCATCAGAGGTCAATATTTAATTCATACTTTGTGTGTATAGAATTATAAGTAATTAAATTCATTATAGATTCAAACAAGTGTGGCAAATTAACTTCACATGTTACACAAGACACTTGTATTTACAGGTAGAAATGGATCACCCTGTTTCATTTACACAAGAAGTATCGTGACATCGATCTATCCTTGTCAGCATTCTCATCAAATTAGCTGAATTGTATCAAGCTTTTAAATTATTTTCTGGCCAATGAAACATAATTGAACATTATAGTGGGAGTACACTATTGTAATATGAATCCATGGAAAGTCTCTCAACAGCAGATGATATGAAATTTTGAAACAATAAATAGGTCATCGAAAGGTAATAAGGTTGTAAAAGAATGATTGAGAATACGTTGGATTCGTATTCAATTAGAATGCAATCGGTAAAGTATTATTTGTTTAAACATAATGAAAATCAAAGATAGTTTACCGCTCATAAAGTTGTAGATTAGAGGATTAACTGCACTATTGAAATAGCACAAGCCGTGTGCGATTAGGCTGATGGCGTTTATCCATTTATTCGACGGTAGTGTAGTAGTATACCTGAAATTCGTTAAATAATGCAATTCGATTTAAATAATGATCGTTGTTTTTATTCTAACTGTCCATTCATAACCGAAGCATGTCAGTGTTTTTATTTGCGTTGCGTTATGTTGTAACAGGGTGAATCGAACTTGTAACATATCGATTAATAAAAGTTACCTTAAAACGGAGAGTAAATGTACAGGGAAATAGCAAATGGCAAAAGTGATGACCACCGTGACTAACATTTTTGCCGCTTTTCGTCGAGATCTCAATTGCACTTCGGGATTTCCGCCACCGGTCGGTGGAATTTGGCTCATCTGGGACGCCCGTGATGACACTGCAAATACTTTGAATAATTATTCATCGTACATTTCACATCGCTTCGTTGTCGCTACAATTATGGTTTATACATTACTAATTGGTCATAGTTTAAACGCCATAGTATAAACATTTTAAACATCCACGGAAAGAATAAATTGTCAAACAAGTTGTCAAATTGTCAAACAATACTTTGAATAATTATTCATCGTACATTTATCGCTTCGTTGTCGCTACAATTATGGTTTATACATTACTAATTGGTCACAGTTTAAACGCCATAGTGTAAACATTTTAAACATCCACGGAAAGAATAAATTGTCGTGTCAAACAAGTTAGTTATGTATTAGAGTTTACGTTGAATACTAACGGTATATTGAATATTGAATGAAATAAGAAAAGATGACGATACGAAAGTCCACGAGGAAAAACATGTAATGATCTATTCCTGCCAAGTACCGGAAATATTTCATAGTACCATTATATTACGTGTTTAAACTATAAACCATCCATAGTCTTCTTCGTAGAATACTACAAAATAGAAAAGATGGATCGTTTGCTTACAATTGTGTCCTGGAATGTCGCTTCTCCAAAGGACTTTTACAATCTGCCAGTAGGCTACGCTCATGAAGATCAAAGGTCCGGTATAAAGGAAAATTAGTTTGACGATAGTGAAGGCAACCTGGCTCCTTTGACTCCAAGACATGTCGCATTGCGTGAATAAAATGGTCTTTATCTTGATATGCGTAGGTGGAACGGTATGCAACACCAGGAAATCCGGAATATCTGCACGGACATTGAATATTTGCTGGCATGATTTGTCAATAGTCAATTCAAAACAATATGTCGTGTATCTCGATTTCAAGATAAACTATTCCATAAAAACGTGCTCTAAACATGAACTATACATTTGTTTCGCTCGATATCTACGGTGTAAGCAAAGGTATTAAATTATGTTTAACTACCAAATAAAAGTGCTATTGTCCAAATTCCAATAATTGCGTTTTTCGCTCGTCCCGTGGTAGACTTGAACCTCAAGGGAAAGCATATCGCGTACCATCGATCTATCGATATAAAAGTTAGAGTCAATATGCTGACGGTCACGGATACTGTCTGCAACAAAGATCAAATAAAAAATCGGATTATTTTTACATAGTCACATGGTTGCCTGGTATTAATAAGTATTCTTTTAAATACTATCCAGCATTATTTAGAAGAGAGAAATTAACCTCGTTAATTAGCAATTTTAATTCGTTCATTTATGAAATTCCCATAATTTTGCTGCATTAGAGGTCGGTCGAGAAGAGTGTTAAAATTCCTTAATGATAGTTGACAGTTTTTTATTCGAGGTGAATACGAATGAATTTAAGTACATTTAATACTAAACGTACCGGCATTTTACATATACCTATGTTACCATAAAGGGTCACATGACCCGTCGCGGTACATAAGGTATGCAAAGAATTTTTCTCGATAAAAAATAAGCTAAA